CCTGAAGAATTCAAGACGGAATGGAAAGCAAATATGACTGTTAATAATATTTCATATCCAACCATGCTAAACAAATCTGAAGAGGAGAAACGATCATAGAGAATAACAAGCAGCAAAGGGCAATGTCGAGGGCAGCATTCTAGAAGAGAGGAACAAGTGGTTGATGCTGAGCACATTTCAGGTGTGCCTGACAGATCCAAACTCTGAATATGGGAAAGAGGAGTTGTTTTTCTTAAAACTTCTCCCTAGGGAATCTTATGATGAGCTAGTCTTATTAATCGAAACTAAAGTCCTTTAAATGACCAAGAAACTATTCAACACCTGGAAATTGCTGACTTGCTAATCATGCACCTGGGAACAGGTTGCTTTTATTTCAGATCGATTATTTTACACTCTCGTTCATCCCCTGCCCATCAAACACGCAAACACGGTCATGACCATCTTGGGTCTTTACTTCCACAAGGTCTCAGGAAGAGCGTACACTCTGGCTCCAATTCTTCTGGCCATTGACACAGCATACCTGTTTTTTTGAGGAAATAAAAATAAGATGAAATTTTTATCTTCCATGCACACCATCGAGACATCTACTTCCTATTCTATAATCATGTTCTGGGATGCAAAAATTCTGTATTGGAAATGAAAAACAGAATGATTTCATTTTTTGTGTTCTGTTTGATTTTGGCTTCAGTTGACTTTTAAATTCTACCAGGCTTTTATACTCTATTACTTTGGACTGGATAAATATTTATTCACTCTTTTCTTTCATGGAGGTGAGAATTTAAGCTTGAAGCACTAACTTATACAAAAACAAATTCTACATATAATTATCAAGGTTGGCTGCATAATCAATGATGAATATACTCATTACACAGTTAACTAACAGACATTCATATGGGATCTTATGAAGATACGGAGTAGAAAATTATGCCACATGCAAAATCAAAATTGCTTATGTAGATGCAAAGGGAGAAGAGTCTACATGGAAACACAGTTGTTGGGCCAGGGGACTAGAAAGGGCAGGCAAAGGAAAGGATGAAAGGACTATTTGCCAGCTAGGGAAATTGGCAGGAACTCATCTCAACTAATCCAGGAAGCACTTCAGGTTGTACTGTAACAGGAATCTTATGGACATTAACCCTTTGTCATATTTCTGCTATAAATATTAGAAGAAATGACATGCCTAACTCCAGAGTTTACAGGACTCTTTCTTAGTGATCTTACGACCACGCTGATGTGGATGATTTTCAGTTTGTATAGGTAAACTTTTTCATGGGTTTTCCATGGAATCAGGTCACAGTCTAGGACTTTAATGGAGGCTGAGGAAGATAAACTCAACATATGTAGTAAGATATCAGTATAGATATGTAGTAAAAGAAGACCTAGGTCGATAGTGTGTTGGTGTGTGTGTGTGTGTGTGTGGTGTGTGTGGTGTGTGTGTGTTTAAAGAGTGAGGAAATGTAGCTCAATGGTACACACTTGCTTGGCATGCCATAAGGCCTGGGTTCTCATCCCCAGTAACCATTAAAAAAAATAAAGGTGAAACTACCGATCCTTAGGTCATTTTCCCCTTGTTTTAAGTTTCTACCTGATTTACGTTAAATATACACTACATTATTTCTATAATCCACTAAAGAACCTTGAAGGACAAACACAATGCTAGGTTCTTTTTTCTTTTTTTTGAGAAGGCTAGCCTTAGATTTTGTGGCCTCCTGCATCAGCCTCCCAAGTGCTGGGGATTCATGCCCACCAATGCTAAGTTCTTACAATTTTTTCATTTGATCTTTATGAATCCTCTAAGGTAATTTATTATGTCCATTTTACTGATAGGGAATCTGAAGCTCAAAGACATTTCCCTATGAGTGGGATCATGCTGTGTTTGTCTTTCTGTGCCTGGGCTAATTTCACTTAAACTCTCTAGGTTCACACATGCTGTGGCAAATGGTAGGATTTTATTCTTTTTAGTGGCTGAGTAGTATTCTATTGTCATATGTAGACTCTCAAGAGCTGGTGTTCTGGAAGGACAGAATAGAATAGTGATTGCAAAAGACCTCATAGTTATGGGGAGGGAACATTAGGTGATGTTTCATCAAAGAATATATTACTATTAGATAGGAGAAGAAAGAAAAGGCAATACAGAGATGTGAAAGTAAAAGTGGTTGCTAGGGGTTGGGATGGTGAAGTGACTACTAATGGCTAGTGGAGCGACTTTCTTGGGTGATGAAAATGTTCTAAAATTGATTTGGGGTGACAGTTATATGCAATGCCGTGAACACCAATGACACCACTGATTATACTTTAAATGCTGAATTGTACGATATGGATATATCTCAATTAAGCTGCTAAAAACAGTGCTAAAAACTTTAAGAAAAAAGTTTTCCCCAGTGACACCTCTGTGAAGAAGCAGAACCTGAAAATGGGAGTTCAGATCGTCCTGGTTAACAAAGCCCTGGTTTGCCCATGGTTTTACCCGGTCTCCCTTACTTGGCATTAATGATGCTTGTCGTCATCTGTTAGACTGCCGCTCTAACAAGGTCATAGTTTATGCAGCTCTGGCTGGATGGCGTCAATTAAATCCACAACTGCCAAACTAGAGCTGAATCGTCTTGTCCTAGGATAAAAGGAGAACAAATCTAAGAATTTCAATATGTACAAATTCAATGTACTTCCTATATAAAACGCCTAAAGCAAAGCCAGCAAATAAAAGAAAACACTACCATTGGCTCATAATAATTCTCATCACAAAGAAGCCCAAGGTTGTCCTTCCAAATTACAGATCATTATCTAGCAAACATAAAATGTAATTGTCAACAGGATACTCACTTTAAAACTCTGAATGGAAGTTGACTTTCCACAGCTTCACCACGTTCTGTTCACCCAGTTTACAATGATTATCATTGGCTTTCTGACCCTCTCCAAGATCCTCCAACATTGAGGGTGTATCTAAGAGAAGTAGCAAAGACATGTCACTATAATTAATGCAACGTCAGAAAGATGCCTATGTCCCATTTCTTTATCCTTAGGTTTGGAGAGAGAGTACAAGATTTCATAGAAAGAGATCATATATTTGAAAAAAATACTTCAAGGAGTAGTGGCCTTGCCTCTGATCTATCCTTTGTGGTGGTGGGGACAAGGCTTACAGTGTAATGTGCAGGCACATTTTGTACTATTCCAATCAAGGTAATTACTTAAAACAAGCTGTGCTTTGACTGGTATCCAGTCATAATGGATGCTTTTAGCATTAGCCTTAAGAGATCTTCATCTTCAAATGGATACAAAGAGGTCATACGGAGAGGTCATACTTTCTTTTTTTCTGACAACTTCTGTTGTTGTTGTTTTTGCTATGTAGCCCAGTATGGCCTCAAAGTCATGATCTTCCTGCCTCAGGTTCTAGAGTAGCTGGGATTATGCATGTGGCAGGGGGGCTGATAATTGAACTCAGGACTTCATGTACGCTAAGCATGTATTGTACTACTGAGTTACACTCTCAGCCCTTCTGACCACATTATTCACTGACACTGAGACTTAACGTGCCAGCCTTCCTTATGAGGAGTCATCACAGTTCTGTTGCCTACCTTAAACAAAAAGTTGTGGTTCATCGACATGTTTACTTATTAAAAATGTAATAAGGGTTAGAACACAGACCTGCATTATAATGAAGCTTAAACAGCTAACACTGCACACCATACCTCCTCATGAGCTGCCAGACTAAAGCTAAGGTCAAGGTTTGGTTCCCATCATTCAGGTCTTGTCCTCCAATGCCAACCAGGGAGAATTTAGCAGGATGCTTCCCTAATTCAACAGCATAGTTGCAGTTTTCTAGCTGCAAACACACAAAAGTAAATGAATGGTTAAAGATTTTCATCTGTTTAATCTTCATGCATATTTATGTGTGTGAGCACACGCGTGTGTGTGTGTTGTATAATACTAGGTATACACACACAAAAACAAGATACAGTTCCTGTCCTCAAGACAGGACACACAGTCAAGAGTGCTTTTTTTTTCTTTAAAGAAACAAATTAAGAATAAAATTAGTCTGTAACGAAGCTACTTGGCAATTTATTTCTCTACCTTTTTCATGTTGGCTCCAAGTTTTGGGTATGGAGGTTTATTAACCTTACTCCAGTCCACAGGAACTTTAATTCGTTCATATAGCTGTAAGATTACCAGGGCATCTTGCAGGTCACTAGCAATTTAAAAATAACTTAATCAGTGTTTTCAGATAGCTAGACATTTACTTACAAACGTAACATCACAGTGTCAAACTAGACACACAAAGCCTCAGTACCTACCTCTTTGTTATCTGTGCTGAAAACAGAACTAAGACTGTCTAGTTCACTCAAAAGTATGTAGGACTACCCCAAGCAAGACAGTGTTCTAAAAATCCTTGTCCTTACATTAGAGTCAGACAGATGTACAGTAAACAATTACATGGATAATGAAATAATATGATTTTGGATAATATATTTTTAACATTTTATATATTCCATTTTGTATATATTTAATACATACTTAAAATGATTTCAGATAATATGTATTTAAGTGCTGAGGGAAAAAAGAAAGTAGAATTAGTGGTTAGTGAATGAAGTTAATACCAGGTGATAATCAAGAAAATAGTGAGGGTACAGAATATAGCAGGGATATGAGCTATTAAATGAGATAAAGAACACTGCAGTGTATGGAATAAGGATATAACTATTGCACATGGTCATAGAACCTTCTAGGCTGATGGTCTGCTGCGTAACGTGTTCTCTGGATTTTGTTTCAAAATATAAAGTACCTGTTCCCTAGGATATCCTAAAAACATTTCTACATTCTATCACTTATAGTCAATGATCACATAAAGAAAGAATTTTTGGGCTTTTGCATATTTGGAAAATGATGATGGAAGCTACCATTCAACCTTTTCCATTATAAATAATGGGTACAAGTTAACATCTTAAACATCTTCAGAGCTGTCATTATTTATGTAGCATCCACTCATGACATTCATAACTGCTTATAATAATGGTAGGCGACTTACGCATAGAGATGGTTTACATGAGGATTAACACCAAGAGAGTTCATCCAGTTACGGAAGGTTCTTTCTTCACGAGTTTCTCCTATGAGGAAAATTCACAAAATTTATTAATTCATTAAATGTCTTGTATATGTACTTATAATAGCACCAACTTATGTATTAGTTTATTTTATCTGTTCTATTTAGATCTACATTTTCTCCAATATGAATTTCTAAGCATTCTAAATATAGTATGACTAGACTAATGCTTTAATTTAAAAAAAATATTTTACAATTAAAGAATACAACTATGTTAGGCCAGGCATGGTAGCTCATGCCTATAATCCCAGCTACTCGGGAGGTGCAGATTGGGAGAATCTTGGTTTGAGGACAGCCTTGGGAAAAAAAGTTAGCAAGAAGCCATCTTAATCAATCAATAAATGAGGCATAGTGGTGGGTACCTGTGGTCACAGCTATGTAGGAGGTCATGGTCATGATCTGAGGCCAGACCCTACCTGAAAAATAGCTAAAGCCAAAAAGGGATGGGGGGCGTGGCTCAAATATTAGAGTGCCTGCCTAGTAAGTGTGAGGCCCTGAGTTCAAGTCCCAGTACTGTAAAAAAAACAAGAATTTAGCTGTATTATAGAGAGTTTGTGAGCCCTTCCTTCCTTCTTTCCTTTCTTCCTTCCTTCCTTCCTCTCTCCCTCCCTCCCTTCCTTCCTCTCTCCATCCCTCCCTTCTCTTTTTTTTATTGTACTACAGGGGATCACAAACAGGGCCTCAAACTGAGCTATGTCCTTAGCCCTACGGAGGTTCATAAACTTCATAAAATTTCGTTTTCCTGTAATATTTTGAACCTATACTCACATTAATTTGTTTTTCTTCTCCCCATGAACAAATACCAAACTACACATGATTACTACTTCTACAACTCTATGTATGGTGAAGCAATAAACCACTTGAAACTTCAGCATCTCAGCAATAGCACACATGAGGCCCTGAGTTCCATCTCCAGCACAAAACTCAAACTCATGATTGAATTTGCGATCAAACTCACCATCTTCCTGCCTCAGCCTGAGATTACAAGCATGCACCACTATGCCCAGCTCAGAAGCAGAAAATTTAAAATTTTTATAGTAATGCATTGGACACCCAGTGAACAACAATTTGCATTTGCTAATTTTTATATACTGTATTTCATACATGTACAATCTGGGAGAAGCAAACTCTGCTTTCCCAAACTTAAAACAAGTAATTAGCATGGCTCTGGCATTTGCTTTTTGTCAGTCTGACTGTGGACAACTGAAACATAGATACTGAAAATTTATAGGCTAAATTCAATGTATATTTGCATTTTCCTGACTAGAGGTTTCAAAACTGGTATAACTTTAGTATTAAAACAAAACACTGTTTACTAAGTGGCCTTTGTTAAGTGACTCTAGAGTATTTTATTTTATATTATTTTATTTATTTGTTTTGTGGTCGTACTGGAGTTTGAACTCAAGGCCTCAAGCTTTCTAGGCAGGTGCTCTACCACTTGAGCCACACCCCAGCTCTTATTTTATTTTTTTGATGTTTTCGAGTATTGGGAATAGGAACCTAGGGCTGTGCACATGCTAGGCAAGTGCTCTACAACTACCACTTTATTTTAAAAGTTTGTTCATATCATTTTCTCTACCTAGCAGCTGCCGGTTTTCACTTACCACTGCGTCTACTTTTAGCAGGAATTTGCTGAAGCCATGTGGATAAAGAAACTTATGTCACGATTATAACATCATTTTAGCTTCTATATTTCTGCTTTATAGTTCCCACATTAGAATTTGAGAAACTTTTAGTTACCTTCTAATAGAGTCCAGTCAATATCCTGGTTCTCTGGCTTAGTTAGTGCTGGGTACTTATTAAACAGGTTAGCCACAAAGGCTAAGTTCAGTTTGGGATTTCCACTGACAACATCAGCAGGGGTAACAAACTGTCTGCAGCCTAATTTGTCTGCTTGCTGAAGCATACTCTCTGCTCTTTTCAAATCATCTGTTTCCTGTTGATATAAAAGAAGACATCTTTTATAGTCCATATTCAAAATATAGAAATTTCCCTTGTAATCATAGGCTAGATATACAATTCTACTTTCTTTTAGCTGACACATGGTACTTATTATAAAACTGTTTTGAATAAAAAAAAAATAAATAAAAAAGATTGGCTCAGCAAGATATGCAATACCTTTAAAATCCCTAGATGGCACAAGACCATATAACTAATGACTGAGTTCATTTAATTCAATGGTGATTACATCTTCTGTGTCAAAATATATCAAGAAAAAAAAGCTAAATTAGATATAGATTTTAAAAAGACAACAAGAGAAATAAAAAAGAAAAAACTTAAACTTCATATATTCACATTTTGGTCCTACACCAAAGGAAGGTGTAGGGCTAAAAACAGTGAAGAACACTGGAAAAAAAAAAGGTAAAAGTGTGAGTAGAGACTCAGAGGTAAAATGAGTGTTTGAAACCTGGATGTTGGCAGGAAGGGAGGTTTGGAGTGAGGGGTACAAATTTAAGGAAAAAAACACAGTAGGAGAAATGGAACAAGATTGTGTAGGAGCTTAAATGCCAGAGCATTTTATACTGACGAGAGAAGACCCAAAGAAGGGAGTGTTTTAGGAAGATCAGTCGGGAGGACTGACTGGAGAAGGGCTGTATTAGAATCAGAATCAGTTAATACACTCATCTGATCTACTCAGGCATATAATCTCCTGACCAGCCGTCCCAGAGAGCACCGTAAGGCATAGAGTGGCCCCTTATACCCACCAAAAGTGACCTGAGCCAAGACTTTTGCATTTAACTTACACAGAGAAATATAAATAAATTCAGCTCTGGTTCACCCAGTGAATCCAATTTCATAATATAATACATATATGGATTTTGTTAATTAGCAGAATGCATTCTGTATCTAATGGATACAGAGAAACACAGAATCCTAAAAGCCTGGGACTACATAGTCTAACTTCTCTATGGATGGGCAAAGTGAAATCCAAATGGGGAAGGAACTTGTCCAAGGTTACTTAATAAATTAGCAACATATCAGGAAATATGGACCCTAACAGTGATCCCCCAAATTGGATTTCATGGATCATAATTTTGTAAACATATTCTTCTTATTCTTTTTTAAATTTTATTTTATCATTTTTACATTTACTTACTTACATGTCTATACATTATTTAGGCCACTTCCCCCCCCCATATTATTCTTAATGCAGGAATATTACAGATGTAGATACGAATATATAATCATTAACTCTACTACTGTGATTATAATCCAAATTCTTGGAAAAGGCTAGCCATTGGTGCTTGCTTCTCTATACTTGTTTTAAATGTTTTTTGTCATCCATAAAAATCAACATCACCATAATTATGGAGCTCACTAATAAACTATCAAAATAAAACCAAGCTAGTTTCCCTCTGAAGTACTACTTTAAAAACAACACTTAAAATTGTCAACACTACTACATACAGATATAAAACATCCTTATACTTGTAACAAACAGACAACAATTTTGTAGGGCTGAAGAATCAAAAGTACCTGTACTTACATTGAAACCTGACATGTTAATATCTATACGTGGTTCACCTTCCTTTTGTCCTTTTGGTGCAATTTGATTGAGAAGATGGAAATAAGCTTTGGAATCCTACAAATGAATTGAAAATATCAGTGCAATCACATTTACAAAAAACGAATGTGTCCTATTGTGCCATGTTAGGAGGGATATTTGCATTAGATTTTTAGAGAGTATATGGCACAAGTCTCTGTGTTTTAATTTAACAGATCTTTTCCCCAGAAAGGTGCATCTATCTGGCTTTATGTCTGTCTTGAATATGGATGAACTGGACTTTGGCATGACTTTGCAATTTATTCAAGTCATCAATACAATAATGCTAATAAACATTTCTGTACCTTCACTGAATTACTGAAGTCAATAAGCTTGATAGATAAAATAAGCATGAAAAAAAGTAGTAGAGCAGAAATCCAGGAAGCATAGGGAAAGAGAAAATAAACAGGTTATATCATTACAAAGTACAAGATATATATCTCATTACTTATGGATCTGCTATGCTAAAGATATGTTTAGTTATAAATTTAAATGACAAAAAGTCTTAAATGAGAAACACTTTAGTTGGTAAGATAATATTTGACCCTTTAGGATCAGAATACTCTCTCTCTCTCTGGAGATTGAACCCAGGACCTCACACATGCTAGACAAGTGTAAGCATTCTACTACTGAGCTACATCCCCAGCCTCAAGCTTCTCTTTTTGTTTTAAGCTCCAGTAGTCTTTATCTCTGAAATACATAAGCAGAGTTGCTCACATCAGGGGTGGGATGGGTGAAATAGGCTGTGTGGAAACTCTGAGAACATTTTGGAGTGCAATGCTAGGTGTCCTCACCTACATCAAATGAAATTCTGTCTCTAGAATACTAGAGGACAAGAACTTGAGCCAAGACTCCTTAATCTTGCCATATCTGAGGGCCACCTATCCAGCTATGACAATTTTCTATTTTGGAGCCTCTAAAGTCCAGACAAGGTATTTAAGATGTGTCTCACAGTAAGCTCTGTAGACTATGTGCATCTTCATCCCTCAGGGAAGTTGCTCGGTACGTGAATTACTAGATCCTGCCAAATATGAATCTCTGGGAGCTGCCCAGAATGCTTCATCTTAAACCAGCTCTGCAAGTGAGCTTGAAATTCATTGCCACAAATGATCCTATAAATGGGGAAAATCAGTGAATGAAAGGCATTTCAGAGCAATTCAGGAAATGCTAAACTAGGTCCTACAGACCTGGGGGTATAGGACTACCTCCTTCTAGGAAACACGGCATTACAGCTATGAAAGTGTTTTCACACCCAATTATTTGCTAAAGGTACAGAAAGAATTTACAATCTAATCCTGTGAACTTGAGAACAGCCAAAGAGCAGATCCAGATTCCGTACTTACTATCCTGAAAGCTACTCTACAGAGGAATATTTGAACTTGAATATAGACGAATTGGAAGGTAGTTTTCACATTACCAAGTAATTCTTTGCTTTTCAAAATCAGGCTTCTTTAAAAAACATTTCCTTTCGTACATTCAAAATATGTCCTAGGAACATGAAACTCACTTACAAATGGTTTTCAGGAACACATCTAATGCAAGAAGCAAAATAAAACTGGTTGAACATATTGTATAAGTTGTAAGTGGGGGTAGGGTGAGTTGGTCTTATAATTTCGGGGATCCTTAATTTTCACTGATAAAATCAGTAGAGCAAGTATCCCATTGCTTGCTGTCATCACTGGCATATCAGTATATGATCCCAGGGTATTGTTTTCATAGCCCTGTTGGTCAGTGACATCAGATGAAGGTCCTCAAGTTTGTTCCCTGTGTCTTGACATTGGCAGTTTCAAGACAGTTTTGCCAGCTGATGAAAACTAAGCAACAAAGTTATACCTTGGCATAATGGGTGATTGGTTCTTAGATAACCCCCATCCAAGGATGTTCAAGCCCCTTTTGTGTAATGGTGTAGTATTTGCATGTAACCTACATATACATCCTCTGACACCCTTTAAAACATCTCTAGATAACTTATAATACCTAATACGATGTGAATGCTATGGAAATAGTTGTAATATTATATTCTTTGGGGAATGAGGACATGAAAAATCTGTACATATTCAGTACAGATATAATCTTTCACCCATGTGTTAACACTATGGATGGGGAACTCAAAGATAAGGAGGGTCAACTGTATTTCTTATGACAATTTTGTTCTTTTTTTTTTTTTGAGGTACTGGGCTTGGAAGTCAGGGCCTTGAACTTGCTAGGCAGGTGCTCTACCACTTGAGCCACACCCCAGCCCCAATTTTGTCCCTTTCTATGTGAGAAAGTAAAGCCCAAAATGTGGTAAATGAATGCTACCAATGCCTTCCTCCCTTGCTAGTTTTTCCTTACTGCTCATGGTGAGTAGTGAGTGCCAAAATTCATCTGACAGAAGAGCCATTTGAGGAGGTTTTATGTGTCAGGTATTGTGTTAGAGCTTGGTTTTAGTAGGAGGGTACTGAGGCAGGGGCTGAGGCAGGACACATACAGACTTAAGTCAGTGATAATCACTTCTTCAAGGAACCCAACATATGAAGTTGGAAGAATATGACAGGACAGAAGCCAAATAAGAGAGGTGATGGCAACAGGAATCTTGAAGCCCTTCCTCTCTCTTCTAAGTCTTTACTCATGCACACTGAGGCATGGGAATGGCAGGAACAGAATAATCATGTCTCATTCATTTGTACTCCATGTTCAACAACAGAGTATAAAAAATTAGTACTATTATGCTTTGACCTTTTTCCCATAAAAGGCATGAGACCTAGTGCTCATGTTCCTTACTTGGCCCTACAGCTCTTCTAAAATCAATCACTAGGACTGCTGGAAGTGGGGCTCAGTGGGAGAGTGCTTACCTGGCATGCTAGAGGCCCTGGGTTCTACCCCCAACTCCCCAGAAATGTTAAAAAGCACTAACTTAAAAAACAAAATCTATCATCAGGGCCAAGAGGCAGAGGGCTTGGTGATATACCATTATGACTTTTCCTCTGTTAGGATGGGGTGAAATCCTGCAAGTCATTATATTCTCCCAAATTGTTCTGGTTCTTTGCGGTTACCTTGATGTCAGCACTGAAGTTGTTGATCTTTTGCCAGCCTGAGTTTTCCAAATGAAAGTTTGCCCATCTAAGCAGAAGCTCTTCAGGAGACAATTTCATAAGCTCCTCCAAAGTCTCACCATCTCGAAGTAAAGCAGCCAAAGCTGAAGAAACAAAACCCCTCAATCAATATATGATGTAATGGTGTTCATACTGAGTTCACTCCCTGTTTGTTTGTTTTGACTTGGACTCATGATCCTCCTGTCTCAACCTCCCGTGTGCTGGGATTATAGATGTGCACTTCACCTATTATTTTGACAATGATAAGTAACAGAGATGCAAGAACTAGTATAGCATAGTTCTGGCATCAAGATATGTATAATCTAATCAGAAGATAAATATGTAAGTTGATAACTGTTAAACAAGGTGATTCTAATATAGACGTGGTATTATGAGAAGGTACCACAAACATATAATAAATAAGATAACTTATTTTTATTATTTTTCATATTCTAAATCCCAAATTAGATTTTAACATTTTCACATTGTTCTATATTTCTAGAAACCAATCTTATTTAACACTATTAAAACAAGGAATTTGGGAAAGGATGTTTATATAAATTTGGGGAACTTTTGATTAAAGCAGTCTAGAGGGGCTGGGGATCTTGCTTAGTGAAAGAGTGCCTGCCTGGCATGCGTGAAGCCAGGAGGAAGAGAGGGAGGAGGAGAAGAAGAGTTTTCGTGCAATAACTGCCTTTTATAAAATGAAATTAATATTGGACAAGAAGACAGAAGCCGTCTGATTTCTGAAGAAATCCAAGTAATACTATACAGGCAAGCTTCATCTTTGATAGATTCCCGCCATTACAGTGCTCAGGGATTTAAGCAAGATCAGAAGCAGCATGATCAGTCGCATAGGGCCCTCCTACAACTCCCTACCTCCACCAAATCAAAGGCTGGAAAGGATCAAGTAGCCCAACACCTACATACCTGATTTATTACATGAGCCAATGTCATTTTATTTTGTTTCCCACTTTCTTTCAACTACTTAAAGCAAGACTAACAGTGCTATGAAGAAGGCCAGCTCTTAGAACAATTTTATTCTTTCAAAAGTAAGACTTCATTAGTGCCAGGCTCAGTGGCAATGCCTGTAGTCCCTGAAACGTGGAGGGAGTAGATTGCTTGAACCCAAGAGTTTAATGACATAAAAGATTTTAAAAAATAAAACAAGAGCAATACTACTAAAAAATAAGAGTAAGAAGAAAAAAAGGGGGAAAAAAGGCAAAGATTGGAGAAACTTCTTTCTAACTCCTCTGATATTGGCATCCACCAGGTCTGGGGAAAATAGTAGGTCATAGGTGGGATCTGTTGTGGTTCCTCTCTGTTCCCACCTTACTGTGGGTGTGTATGCAAGCCCAGGAATTTGAAAAGAAAGAAAGAGAGAAAGAGAGGGAGGGAGGAAGGAAGGAAGGAAGGCTGGGCAGAGGTGGTAGAACATTTGCTTAATATGTTTAAGGGGCCCTGGTTTCCATCCCTAGTGTGCGTGTGCATACACACACACACACACACACACAGAAAAATGTAGGACTTTTTGAAAAGATTGAAAATTAAAGTTAACAACATCTTGAAAGTTCAAAAAATCTTATAATATGTAAATGTGCAACATAAGACTTGGCAAATATTATGAGAACTCAAAAATACGAAGAATTCAAAATAGATTATCTTCCCCCAAAGTAACTGAGGATTGAGATGGTGATGCTGGGGATTTCTGGAATTAAGTATGAATATTTGGCGTGGTGCTCAACATTTAAAACTTTATAGGCAAAGGGTAATATAGTACTTCCTAATAGCCGATAACAATTATATTGCATAGATGTATATATTCTATATATTAATATAACACATCTTTCTATAAATCGGTGTAATATAAAAACCTATGCTGTAAAAAAGGATGTTTTTGCTGGTTCAGGAAATGTACCATGAAAATAGATTAGAAGATTTTGGAAGATGTCTAAATCTGTGATAGAGTAAAAAAAGGTATTAAAAATAATAGAACAAGGCTGGCGGAGTGGCTCAAGTGGTAGAGCACCTGTGTAGTAAGTGTGAGGCCCGGAGTTCAAACTCCAATACTGCCAAAAAAATAATAATAGGACATAGCACATGATGGAGCTGAGAGTGGTTATAAAGTTATGAAGTGGAGGTTGTGTGCATCAAGCAGGAAAAGCTATTAGATACCAAGTTTGGAGACCCTGGGAACATTGATTAACCTCTCTGTGCTTTTGTGTCTTTATTGTAAAAATAAAATTTAAGGTGCCAGGCAAAAGTGAATTACTAAAGAAGACTGATAAGAAGGCTGTTTTCCTGAATAATTCTAGAGCATCATCTTATATTAATTCTAGTTATCATCTAATCACTTCAGTGAAGTGAAAGCATACTAGTTTCTTTGAATAGAAAAAGACAGCCAATAAACAAATTTCAAAACAATGACTGTGTTCCATTTACCTTCATTCCTGCTTAATTCAATGTCAGCAAACAAACCAATCTTAATAATCTGCCAAAGTAGTCCCAAAACCAGATGAGGTTTTCCAGCCCGCAGATCCTCTGCACCAATGTTCACAACGTGACACCCAATGGCAGAAGCAGAGTTCAGTGCCAAGTTCAAGTTTTCCTGCAAGACAGCCAAATTATACACTTGCTTCTTGACCTTTCCATTTTTTCCCAGTGTACTTCTCCCTTCACTTCAAAGTAACAGTGAAGAAACTAATACACTGCATTAATTTTACCCTACATGATTCACAGAAATCAAATTCCAGACTCTGGTGTTAAAAAACATAGCTAAAGCATATCTCTGCCTCATCACTATTATCTTTTGCAGGATTCCATGGGAAGTTAATTTTCTATTTGTATTTGGCCCCTTTTGAATTACACTGATAAAGGAAAAGGACAGGCTGGTTGAGTGGCTCACGTGGTAGAGCACCTGCCTAGTAAGCATAAGGCTCTGAGTTCAAACCCCAGTACTGCCAAAATAAATAAATAAATAAATAAATAAATAAATAAATAAATAAATAAATAAATAAAGGAAAAGGCCAAGTGACCATATGAGTAGTGTTGTATTTCTAAAATGCCTAAATGAGAGTCTAACAGTTTGGCATACACCCAAGTTCTAGAAGTTACCAAGGGGTGTTCTTACCTATGGCAATTTTTTAAAATTATTAGATAGCAAATAGTGTAATACTCTTTTTTTTTGTGGTACTTGGGTTTGAACTCAGAACCTCACACTTGCTAGGCAGGTGCTCTACCACTTGACCCACTCCGCCAGCCCAAATACCCTCTTAATGGAAAAGAAAAAAAATTCTTTTAAGCATGCCAGTTAATTAAGAGTTTCTATGTTTTTGCTTATTTCTGCAATGTTTGAACATGTTATATAATGAAAAGACCAGAGGGCTCTGGAGTTAGGGATTTGCACCTCGGTTGTAATATTAACCTCTGACAAGCGCACAAATGTCTCTGAGTCTCAGCTCACTTTGTAAAATCAAACAGTAGTTTCGTGGAAGGAGTGGAGAGCAAGGCATACCTGAATAATGAAGGGTGTGAGTTTCTTCTTGTTGATTGCTCTTTCATCAATTGTATCAGGAACTGAAAGGTTGATCATTTTACTGAAACAAAAATGAACAAAAAGTTGATTTACTTTTAAAGATACGTAAATCTTCACGAATATGTTAAGGCTTAATATAACACATCTTTCATGTAATCTAAATAATACATGTAAAATTTGTTATGAATTTGATCATGTTGTCCACAAAAATTATATATACAAAAATGCAAATTAAAAACCAAGGCCAGAGCTGAGAGCTAAGTGGTAGAGTACTAGCCTAACATGTGAGAGGTCTTGGGTTTGATCTCCAGCACCAAAAACCTGACCACAGCTGGACTCAGTGGCTAATGCCTATAATTTTAGTTACTCAGGAATTTGGGAGGGTGCAGATTAGGAAGATAAAGTTTTCAGGCCAGCCTAGACAAAAAAGTAAGTGAGACCCCATATCAACATAAAAAGCTGGGTGTGTTGGTATGTGCCTGTCATCCCAGCTACATGGGGGAAGCATAAATAGAAGGATTGCAGTCCAGGTTGCCTTGGCAAAAAGCAAGACCCTATCTCCAAAATAACCAGAGCAAAAAAGGTTAAATGCATAGCTAAAGCAGTAGAGCGCCAGCTTAGTAAGCGTGAAGCCTTTAGAACATACCCCAATACTCTTGCCCCAGTCCCAAACTCAACCAAAATGTTTAAAGTAGTTGAGTCTCTGAATAGGAGATAGAGACACATTTTCTCATTTAAAAATTTTTTTTGGTGGTACTGGGGTTTGAACTCAGGGCCCCTCACTTACCAGACAAGTGTTCTACCATTGCAGTCATGCCTCCAGTCCTGTGTCTTTACATTCTCTTATGAGAATGAGTAACCTTAATACTGAAAAATTTTCTAATAAATGTTATAAACAGATAAGATACCACATTGAAAATGAATCTCTTCTATATTATTCACAATTAGAAATTACCATTTATCTACAAGACAGTAATATTCATTGAGTATGAGATTCTTTTTTTGGTGGGGTTGAACCCAGGGCCTCACATAGGAAGCCTACCTTCTACCACTGAACTACAAGCAGTAGATCCTTTCACTCACTGAATTCCTTCTTTTTTTTTCTCATGGTGTTAGGGATTGAATCTAGGGCCTTGCACGTGCTAGACAAGTGCTCTACCACTGATACTCATCCCCAGTCCCATTCAATAGATGTTTTGCTCAGTGTTTCAACAAAAAGTTGGTAATATAGTGGTGAGAAAAAGAAAGGTTAGTTTAGTTAGGCTACAATCTGTGACTTATAAGGAAGAAAATTGATATGTGGTAAATTTATTTATTTACTTAGTTACTTAAATTAATTTTTTAATTTTTGGTGCTGGAGATTCAACCCCAGGGCCTCAAGCATTCAAAGCAGTTGCTCTACCACTGAGCTATACCCCCAATCTCATTTGATAAAATTTAGACTCTAACATTTTACCAGTTCACACCACCCCAAGAAATTTTATTCTACCTAGGGAAAAAGATGCTTCTTTCCATGAAAAATTTTAAATATTTAAAAATACTTCTGACACCTGGGCACAGTGGCTCATGCCTGCAATCCCAGCAACTTGGGAGGTAGAGATAGGAGAATTGAGGCACAAAACTACACCAAGTAAAAAAGGCAGCAAGACTCGATCAAAGAATAAGCTTAGTGTGATGGTGCATACCTGCAGTTCCAGCTACAAGGGAGGTGTAGGTAGGAGGATCACAGTCTAATTCTGGCCTGGGCAAAGAGCACAAGACCTTATCTTAAAAATAACTAAAGCAGAAAGGGCTTGGTGGGGGGGTGCACGGGCTCAAGTAGTAGAGTGCTTGACTAGCAAGTCTTGAGTTCAAGCCTCAATAACATAAAAATTTAGGTATATGATTATGTCTATTAAAACACAGGGAGAATTCGCTTTAGTGCATGTAGCTAGACACAAAAGGGGATATCTTACTGGGGTTTTTTGAGGCAGTGTTTCACTATGTAACCCAGATTGGCCTGCAACTCACTATGTAGCCCAGGTTGACCTGGAACTTGCGATCCTCCTACCTCAGCTTTCCAAGTGCAAGGATTAAAGGCATGTGCCTTTAATCAGCTTTTCGAGCAACCAATATGACCTTGCAAAAAGAGGAATTTTGTATATTGTATACTGTCAACTGAAATATATCTACTGCACTGTTGTAAACACTCTACACGTAGTAACTTACTTAAGGCTCACAATAGCCCTATGAGGTAAGTACAGGTTGAGTACCCCTTATCCAAAACCCTTGGAAGTGGAAGTGTTTCAGATTTTGGAATATTTGCATACACCTAATGAGATATCTTGAGGATGGGACCTGAGTCAAACACAAATTTCATTTCTGTATCTCAGAAACCTCATGCACACACCTGAGGGTAATTTTTCTTTGTTTTTGTGGTGATGGGGATGGAGCCTAGGACCCCGTACATGCTAGACAAGCACTGTACCACTGAGCTATAGATACCCCTGACCGAGAGGGTCATTTTATACAATATTTTAAATACACCTGTGTTTTGACTGAGACCTTTCACATGAGGTCAGATGTGGAATATTCCACTTGCGGTGACATGTCAGAGATCAAAATGTTTTGGATTTTGGAGCATTTCAGATTTTTGGAGGAGGGATGCTGAACCCATACAATAATATGAGGATCATAATAGATAGAACTTGAAATGCATAGGGGTTGACTATCCTGGACCACAGTCACACGGTACTAAGTGGCACGGCAGGGCCTGAATATGAACCTGGGCCAACTAATCATGGAGCATGCTCTTAGCCTCTGCTATACTGCCTCTGAAAATAAGAGCAACAATGGACAGTGTTGAGAATTTCCTATCATTTTTCCCAAGACACTGCTGGCTGTGAGGCAGCTGCAGTGACAGCAGCTTTTTCAGAAATAGGTCGTTGGGGAGTGAGAACTGAAGGGTAGCCTCTTTTTTCCTTTGGAAACTATGGTACTTCAGAATAAATAGACACTGACATACTTAAATTTGACAAAGTAGTAACATTCTGCTTGCACAGCGATGAGAAGAAATTGGAAGCTGAGAGTTCTGCCCTATAAAGAGGTCCCCAAGTCTATGACTGAGTTTTAGGTTTTTGTAGACAGATTACAGACAAAACAAACAAACATAAAAAAAGCAAGCTGCATACTTTTCCCTTCTGTTTATGATCAAGCTGTCAAGCATCCAGAAACAAATATATCAATTTTGTGGAAGACTATTTTTGGAAATCTGAATATAAAGCAACCAGCATCTTACCAAAGCACAATTCCATCACCAACAGCTTTGAAGAGGTCATCTGTGTTTGGGTTCATTGGTACAACGTGTCTGCAATCAGGATCAGCTTCCAAAGCTTTGTTTATCCAGTTAACAAAAGCATATTTTTCTTCCTCTAAAATTATGTTAAAGAACAAGAAATTAGTTCATACTCTAGGTTAATCATTGGACTCCAAAGCCTAAAATAGTTGTATAGTAGTGCTGAAAGTTAACATGTCACAAACGTGCGGTATCCTCTTCAGACACCCAGACACTTGGATGTAATACAAAATTAACAAAAGCAATACAGCAAGTTAGCTGATCCTTAGAGAAGTTAGTTGTAAAATCCTTTCAAAATTACATTTATATTATCGTATGAGTCCACTGTTATAAAATCTATCATTACATGTATCTTATCTCATTAAGCTAACAAAGTCATACAATAAACACCTATAATGACTCTATGGCAAGTATTAGACCCAAGCCCAAATGTGTGTCAAGAAGGCAGCAACTGTATTGTTAATTAAGAGAATGTGTTTTCTACAGTCTCTTCATGACACTGTAGCATCTGCTCTACTTTGTGCATTGCTAACAACGTACAAGTAATGATTACCTGAATAAGAATGCTGTGTTCCTTCACTGGACAGCTCTGAAGTTCCTCCCAGAGCACAAATCCCTTCTTTCCTATTGATTGCTTTGCGGAAGGTTTTAGCAATATCACTGCTTTTTACCTCTTGGAAAATCTGTTAATAAAATAATTTTGTTGAGTAACAATTTTCAGTCAGGCACAATGATAAGCATATTTATCTTTTGTTATATTTTCATCACCTACATTGTGTTCCATGGGTGATGAGTTTTAAAAGGCAAATGGGCTTGAGTTTTTGCAAAGCTAAACCAGTACTGCAATACTGCTACTAAGGATGAAGCATCAAGGTCAACGGCACACGCTTGTCAAAACCAGTAAGTGCTACATGCATTGGATTCACTTAAAACTCCAAACTAGTGTGGTTCAAAGGCACAGGTAAATCTGTTAATTTTCTACGGACAAAGACAGCGTCATTTTTCCCTTGGAGAAAAAGGGATGAAGAATTCTGCTTTCGTTAACCCCAGTTCTTAGTCCAAAGACAAGTAAAAATTTATGACTCAACTAAAAGATCATTTTGTGGTAGTGCAGTGAGAGTTCATTCAATCCAAAGTTGCAGAATGCGAAGGTGAAAAAAGGTGTTAAGATGGCAGTAATAAATAGATGGCTATCAAGAATATACATAAAAAAGAGGTTTGTCAGCAATTGTTTTGTTTGGGCATTTATGAGTCTCTCTCTCTCTCTCTCACTCTCTCTCTCTCTCTCTCTCTCTCTCTCTCTGTGTGTATGTGTGTGTGTGTGTGTGTGTGCTGGTAATGGAACTGGGGACTTGCACATGCTAAACCACTCTACCACTGAGCTACACCCAGCCCTAGCTTCTCTTCACAATAAGGAAACTGGCTAACACGTTAACTTAAACACTAATTGTACAAAAGCAGGTGGTAAAAGAAAACAAGTCTCACATCCTGGCATAACCACTTGATTGAATGAGTGGACATTCTAAACTAAAAATGTGTCCCTCATCTATTAACGTACATGGCTGATTAAATTAGCCACCACCCCAGTCAAATACGAGCAAAATGTAGCAAATTTATAAAACTTTCTTTAAATGCTATTTAAAACCCCCATTTCAGTGAACCTATTAAAAAACACTTATAACTATAAAGGAAATTTTGCTAAAGAAATGTGGAATAACTCAAAGACCTTTAGTGCTATAGACACATACATTCTCATCTCAGGGAGATGATGTCTACGCCTGAGAGTCATAGAATGGGGTCACAATATATCACAGTTCAGGCTGGAAAATTCTAGCCCGTGAGATACTGAAGCCTTGCCCAAGACTGTTCCAAGTTAAAGCAGGAGTGCCTTTTTCAGTCTAGTCTTGCCCTGAGGGCACCCTTTTGTAATCAATGCACCTGGAGAAAGTGACTTGTAATTGGAAGGAAAAGTGACTGTATGTGTCATCGGTGACCCTATCACCAATCATTCAGAACTCTTACTTCTCTTAGTAAAATGTTATAGAGTAAGTTAAAATCTGACAGGTGTGCATTTCCTCATACCTGGCATACCACAAGTCACTTCAATAGTCAAAAACATGCTATTGTCTCAGAATGAGATATGAAAAGTTGTTTTTCTTGTTATGAGTGCTTTTGAGCATCATTGCCTTCTAAAAATTAGGTTGGTTCGATGATCACAATTTCAGCTGAAAGATAGGTCCAAATTTTATACATCATGGAAAAGTGGAATATTATTAGTTTTTTTTTTTTTGGTGGAACTGGGTTTTGAACTCAGGGCTTCACACTTGCAAAGTAGGTGCTCTACCACTTGAGCCATGCCTCCAGTCCGTTTTGCTCTGGTTTTTTGGAGATGGGATCTCTCAAACTGTTTGCCTGGACTGGTCTTGGACTGCGATCTCCCCTATGTTGGCCTCCCAAGCAGCCAGGGTTACAGGTGTGAGCCACTGACACCTGGCTTATTTTCAGCCCAAATGAAAAGTGGAATAATTTAAATGAAAAACAACAAAGAAGGAATGTCTCTGCTGTAACCCTAATGTAATCACTTCCATAGGCTAGTAAAACTTGTGATACTTGGGAATGCCATGCAAAATTGTAATTAAATTGATTAATTTTCTTTTTTTTGTGATTTTATTAGCATATAGTAGTTCTACAGGGGAATACATTGTGATATTTACATATGTGCTTACAATAGATCTTAGATTTACCGCCTCCATCATTCTCCATCTTACCCCCTCCTCCCCAAATTCGTTAATTTTTAATTGTCTTACAAAAGTTACATGACCTTCACTTTTTTCTCTTTTTCTTCTTGTGGTGCTGGTGATTGAACCCAGGGTCTTATGCATGATAAGCACATGTTCCACCACAGA